AGTAAAATTATTTTTCTTCGTCGCTAAAGAATACGCCTTTCAAGAAATGTGTATTGCCATGATTGATATCAGCATGATTCCCATGCTTAGTTACTTCACTCTTTCATCCCCTTATATAGCACATGATATAAACCAACAATATAAACACATCGTGTCAATCGATATGATATATGGTTGCAATCAAGAAATACGTCACATTTATGTAAATACATGCAAACATATACCACGGCAGGCGGATCAGATTAATATATTGCTACCAATAATTACCCAGTCAAAAACATGTTTCTCCAGGATGGCATTGCTTATAATGATTTCAGAACACAATACCAAATCATACTTAGATCACCAATGTCGATCCCAATGATAATAGATAAGCTGCGTTATTGTATTATTGTACTTATCGTATATAATCGCAATGGCTTAATCATCTCAAATATATTATTGTTATATTGTCTTCGTACCTAACTATTTTTTTTTCCTTTGCATGTAAGCTTGCAAGTCGTCTGTAAGGTAATTATAATTATATGTTTGATATGTACATTATAGCAGTATACGTGAAAGAATATAAAGTAATTTTAAAAACGATTTTTCAAAACTCAACTTCTATGCTATCAATTCCGTTGTTCATTATTAACACGTGTTCTGATAATCTGGCACGTTTATTTTTGTTTTGCCCTTTACAGAAAAGATTCAATAGATGATGACATCTCCCCTTATGCAGGTATGGATCTGGCAGTCCTGAGCACTGTAAAATTACGTTTCAAATTTTAAAGCAATTATTTTTATTATTTGAACAAGAATTAATGTTTTCTTTGTATTTACTTAGAGACATCATTTGTTGATGTTAACGTAACTTATGATGAACATGAAGGACCAGCGCATGACCGTGTCGTTGAGAATAACCTTCAAACAAAGGTAAATATACATATATGACTTACCATTCTTCACAATAAATTACATATATTCGCTTTAATTTCGATTTTTTTTACAGGGCGAACATGTGTACGCTTCGCTTACGAAAACACAATCAGCAGAAAATATCTACACAAACCTCCATGAAAAGGTTTGGGAATTTCCAAGAGAAAATATTGTGATAAACGAGATAATTGCTAAAGGATCATATGGCAACATTGCTAAATCAGAAGCATGGAATATTGCAGACACACGTGGGAGTACTACAGTTGTAGTAAACATATTTGAAGGTAACATTATTTCTTTTATGTGAACAACACTAAATATATTGTCATTACTTGACTACCTAACGTTCTTCTTTAAAATCACTTTAAAAATAGTCAGGGATCAATATGTATGTTTTTATTGGTCAATATTTTATTCTAACATGAATATTAATTATGCGCCATATCCTTGGTAATTATTAAATGTAAATCAATTTGGTACACCAGTAATTTCGAACATTATATATATACATTACATACTCAATATGTTATGAATCACTAAATTTAGCGCAGCATCTTACGTACAAATACCGTTGGTTGAATGTTAATATATAGTTTCTAATTTAATGTTATTGGATTACGCCCCGATCTAACCAATTGCAGTTAATAAGTATAAGCAATGAACAAGTAAAACAGATAATATTCTGGTTCTAGAAATCTTATATTCTGAATAGTTCTAGTGTTGTTATAGTTAATATTATGAAATACTGCATTGCACATTACTGATCATTTTTATCCTCACAGAAAACCCAATTGAAGATGAAAGAATCACACTTCTGAATGATGTGGATATGATGAAATCGCTTGGCTCGCATCCAAATGTCGTCGATTTATTAGGATATTGCACGATAGACGGTAATCTTGTTATTTAATTTATAATACACCTAAAAAGATCAATACGCTTGAAAAAGAAAACATAATTCATCCTGTAGTTACCGAGGGTATGTAATCGGCGATTCAAATGTTCAAATAATTCTCAAAATTGATAACAAACATTAGATATTTACGTGCAATCTTTCTGTGCGTTTGTGCGTTTTGTTCGCCTGATTATGGATTATGACCCGAATGACAACGAACGGCAAATCTTCGGTGCTAAATGTAAAACAATTATATATATATTAATATATATATATATATATATATATATATATATATATATATATATATATATATATATATGATCTATAATGTCTGTATACTTTCCCTTTTTATAAGATCCAATTCTATTAATATTTGAATACATGCCAAACGGGAATTTACAAAAGCGTCTTCAAAATTCACGAGAATTGGAGACATCGTCATACGTCAATTTAACTACGAGAAGAAACACACTGACAAACTACGATCTTCTTAGTTTTTCTTATCAGTGTGCAATGGGAATGGAGTTCCTTGAGTGGAAGAAGGTATGTTGCTTCACGTATTAAATAAATTTGCATGTACATATCCATTATATACGTTTCTCGATATTAACTTTCTCGATAACACATAACCATATCTCTTATTTATTTGTAGTACATGCACTCTGAGTTAGCTGCACGTAATATATTGATGAATAACAGAATGATTTGCAAATTATCAAGAATTGGCTTAGCGAGAGATGTTGGTGATAAAAATCGTAATGATACAATCACTCAGGCAAGTTAAACGTCATATAATATTGTTACAAGGGGTATCGGCTATACATTGAGTGACATTTATATATTTTACTCATCCATTAACAAGACACGTTGTATATCTCACATGCAGAAGCATCTATATGCAAAGTGGATGTCACCAGAAACCTTACTAGAAAACGTGCATACAATCAGAAGCAATGTTTGGTCGTTCGGAATTTTACTATGGGAAATATTTACATTAGGTACGTGTATATATTTTATGACAAATGTTTGTTTTGCGCCAATAGCGAGAGAACGGTGCAACTGCCTGTCTATCTGGGCCTAGTTACTTTAGTCGGTAAATGTAAACAAAGCAATTATTTGATCGTACTCAAGCGTGGATTCCATACTCAGCCGATTATGCACTCAACAGGTCGCTCTAGTATTTTCAGACTATGCCGGCCAGTCGGACCCTCGATACATTTTTTTCTGTTCATGTTAACACTAACCCATGGACGAGTTCCATTGCAAACATGTAAAACGTCGCAGGACTAACAAATCCGTAATTTGGCTGTTTGCCAAAAAAAAAAAGTTTAGTTGTAGGCTATTGAACACCGTCTACCCATTCGTCTAGCCGTTCTTCATTTGTCACAAAATTCACTGTTTTATACAATTATATAAGTGTAACTAGTTTCCAACCAGTTGTAATCACTATGTGGTTATTACGATAATACGGCAAAGTATGCGCGAAGGCAGTAGAAAGATCGTTACGACCAACGCGTAGCAAAGTTCGTTGCGAACCCGTACTTTCTGCATTATTATTACACCACTATATTATTAACCGCATTCGAACACGTACATACTACGTTTTACGAATCGTTGAATTATATTGTTTTGGGTGTCAGATGTATAAAAGTAAATAGTACTTCATAGGCACAAATTTGAAAACAAACACATATTGAACCAAAGGTCAAATTGACTTATTGCAAAGTTATTTGACCCACGCCACGCCAGTTAACCTCGAGCTTCTTTTCACTCTGTGCACTCCAAGCATGTTTTCTCATTATCGAGGACACCATATATCTCGAATTAAAGACAAATTGATGACATGTGCATTCCAATTCAACCAACTTTTACACTATGATTTAATGCAAACGTATTTCGAAGAAAAAATAATTTCTGCGTATTAGATATTTTTTTTGTGTTTGAAAATGTATTAAGTTCATTTTAAAAGATCGCTACACTTGTTATGTATCAACAAATATTATTTTAACACTATATAAACACAAATATCGAACATCTCTTCAACACCAGTACGCAAACAACGTAAATGGTTACTCAGTGATTAACATATTTTTTACAAATTATTGTTTCTTTTTCGACAGGTTGTGAACCCTACCCAAACATATCAGTACCAGAATTAATAGAATCACTAGGTAAAGGCCATCGAATGCCTAAACCCGGACAGTGTGACACGCAACTGTGAGTACATTCAAATCAATTACAGTTATTAGGTGTAGTTATGACAACAATTATACTGTATAACATTATTACCGTGTGTATATTTGATCACAGTGTATGATTTGGTGTCTTATTACTATGTATATTATCAGGTATTCTTTGATGTTAAAGTGTTGGAATGTTAATCCTTCTCATCGACCAACATTCAAGGACATTGTGGATAATATAAAAACGTGTCTGGATGACGCCAAGTTTGGTAGTGTATTCTGCGTACAATCATTCCAAGGTTATTTTATTGACCAACGTATTAACTGAATTGAACGCGGTCTATAGCGATTTTTACCACATATTCTTTCTTATTGCTTTTTTTAGGTGTGTATTGATTAAAGAAGATGTATAGATGGGTCAAAATAGTTCGGATAAAATATATATCAAACACCTGGAACAATTTTAGATTAATTAAATAATAGGAAAATAATTCATATATAGTGTAAATATATATTTAATGATCACATTGTGACTTCGTAGCTAAAATAAATCCTCAAATTATTGCAAAAATAAATAATAATATTTTTTAGTTAGTAGTATGTTTGCAGTAGGTGTACACTCATGCAACGATCTGAAGGTTTCGCACTAAATCATTATCATTATATCACAAATAAATTTACGTGATAAAATTGGCGAAACTCGTTTATTTATGTGATTTGATATTTCATATCGATTACAAGCATTCTATGATATTTTGTAAGTAAGTAAGTGACAGTAACATGCGCGCACTGACGTCGATACGTTCAACAAAGAGTTATAAAAACATATCGTGTTTGAGTAATACTCATGCAACCTCCCGCATATTATCAGTGACATATTTGTTCACTAAACATTGAATATACAGTGATGTGATCCATCATTTGTGTAATAATACGATGTCACGCATGACATGTGACTTTAGTTCAATGAGGTGAAACCCATCAACTTATATTGTGTAACATAGTTAACTTTTCAGCAAAATACAATAAAAGTAAAATAACAATGTTTCAGTCGTTGGTTATTCCTATACTCCAATGTGTACATGAGCAATAGCGCATATCAATATTATATATTTTTTAAATGTTAATTTTTTGTGCTAGACGACAGTTCCGGACATTGAATGTCACTGTTGTCGTTCCTGACCTTCTTTTTTGTATGTGTAAATTGCAAGTGCTGGTGCTGACACAGAATTCATGATTGTGCGTCAACCAGTACTGGTCGAATACAATCACCTGCGGACCTTAACCAAGACCCAAAGTCGCATTCATTAGTGAATGAATCTCGGCCAGTGGAATTAGCCTTACTATTGAATCTGCGGCACACTCACAAAGGGTAGGGGTCGACCTTTTTGATGTTCAGCCTAAGGTAAGATTTGGACTTAGGTCTACAGACTATGAGTCTGATGCGACAAACACTATAATACCAGTGACCGATGATTTTTTATCGTTATATTGTAGTTAAGGATGCAAATTGTAACGGCGGCGTATCCAATTATGATAGTATAGTGTCAGCATAGAGACATCCCACACACGATAATTGTTAATCCATACATCGTTAACAACAATCGTATTATGCAATCATATGTCTTACCAAATGTTTAACACATATTATACAGTAGACCTAGACACTACGTAATCTGTCAGGGATTGCAGTTATCGTTGGTTAACATATAACACACGCCTACTAGATACTTAACAGAGTTGTAAGTGACTGTGATTTGAGTTGGAACGAGGAAGCTGTCAGGCTGACTAGTAATAAAGTGGTTAATGTGTGTTAACTTCAATGGAGTATTCAATTGGGTCGGTCAACATTGGTACTTCTACGTACAACGCTTCTTTTGTAGAAACAATATTCCGTGTTTGTTCAAAAAACATATTATAATATATGTAACCTCGTTTACTTGCTCAGGCATGAATCGAGCTTCTACTTTGAACTATAGTACACTATAGTACGATGTAGTTGATGTGTGTATTGCAATGCTAGCGCACTTATAAACTTCCTCGTTCGTGAAAAGGTCAAACCAGGTCATCGTGACAGGCACCGAAGTACTTAAAACTAGCTCCTTGTAATGCGATACCTATTTTTAGACTTTCAATTGTTGTTTAACATTCCATAGCTCGAGTACACAACCATATAATCAGGTGTAATGAGGTTTGGTCAAAGGTCGTATTTGCCGCAACAAAAATAAGAAACAAGAGAAATTCTACAACGCACCTAATTCTTCTGAGGGCGATATTTGATATTCTATTGCGAAACGCTCGAGTCATTTATTCGTCGACAAACATATAGAAATAATAGTTCAACATTCACCCATATCGGTCTGTTTAATAATTATCAACAAGATTGAAATTGTCCAATTAATTGTGATTCATTATTCTAATAAACATAAATCAGCTATGGCATTTAAATATCGCATCGCGTCAACAAGTTGTGAATAAATGAATATGTGTCATACTAATACATAAACGGTTAATGGTCATTTAAACATTTCTCACCCGACAGTGAATACTGAATTTGCAAAGAGTTAGATTGTACAGAAATATGTAAATTGATTATAGTATGTATAGTATTGCTTATTGTGGGGGGGGGGGCAAATATATTAATCTTGAAAATAACAGTTTTATACACATGTGTTACCAACATTAAAATGTACTTCATAAGCGAGAACAATTATTTATTTTAACATTGTTCATGTCTATAATGCAATATGCTTATATCTACTAGTGGTAAAACGAACGAAGGTGACACATTCATAAGTGATATGTATATGTCGTCGGCATACATGACTTAATATTAATTTATATCCAGGGCTACCTAAAATTATACAGCCTATTCTGATGCAAGTATGAGAGAATCGCTTAAAATTTAAATAGGGAATCAGCCAGAAAAAACAATAGTGTCTCCATGCCGATAGATCAATACTACCTTTACTAACAATTAATATAGTTTACATTCAGAAGATGAACATTGCAATATGAAAAGAAAAATAGGATCTATATTAAATACTATTGTTATGAAAAGCAGTCTGGTCTTCTTCAACATGGCGTATTAATATTATTTGATTTTCAATTGCACACTTATGTGAACGTTGAGCAAATCTTACAACTGAGCGCCACCAACGTCAAAGTATACCGATGCGTTCAAACAAGTCACGCTCCTAGCATACAATTCAAAACTAAAAGTTCCTTTGTGACTACAAGCGTGGTTTTGTGCAATCAATTATTTTGAATCTCATCATTTATTCCATAATTGTATATATGGAAATATAAACATGTGATCACTGTAAAAAACGCGGGCTCATAGTTTTACAATATACAAAGAGTATTCAATTGGACAGTTCGTTACAATAGCTTCTACAAAATAAGAAAATACATTCATTTTTCATTGTTCATTCCCATTTGTATGTATACACTCACCTGTAACATTTGTAGAAAGATAAAATATAGCACTTTTTCTTCTAGCTTAGTTATGGGCATAACTGTTACTGAATATATTTGTAACACTTAAACTTGAGCAGGAAACGTATGTTACTTCCCAGAATAAATTAGCGCAACTAATACTTAGTCCATAGTTCAGTCGGGATACAGCATTATTTATTTTATGAATTTAGATGTATACAATTAGTGTTCCTGGTTAAATAGTGCGCTTGCCTCATATTAGGGAATAAAAGTATTGGCCATAGCCTAGTCAAGAGCATACAAATAATTACCGGGCACGAACATTCACTCAACAAAACGCAACACAGGATTTGATTCTCACACGGCGTAGCGCCTCATTAATTGCATTTGTTATCTATCTATCAATAATTAATGTGTTTTTTGCCGTCAAATCTCTATATTTTGTATATATTATATAATCACTCGAACTTGTAACGATAAATTCTATCGATATTTAAAGTACACATTCTTTCTTTCAATTCGAGGATTACTAGCAAACAAGCTAACAGATGCTTTGTTAAAAAATCGCTGCGTGTACCAGATGATTGCGAGGCAAACGAAATGAGTGTGCAAACAATTGTGCTTTCATTGTTTCTGGATTTGAATATGCGAATTGATTTCTGAATTCTGTACACTGTTATATGGTCAAAATGGTTCTACGTCGTGCCCGGCGAGATGCAAAATATTAACAGTATTTTGGTAAAAGCTGTTACACTTGTGATTATAATGTTAAACCTTTAATAAATAATTTTTTAATTCGTTTTGCATCCTTGTCAATAACAATAATAGCTATGTAATATACAAGTGTTGGTACACTGAATATATAATGAAAATCCACTAGACTCGC